GCTCACTTTGTAGCCCAGGCTGGTCTCCAACTCGCAACAATCCTCCTGCCTCCGCCTCCCTGAGTGCTGGGATTACAGGTGTGTGCCACCACATCTGGTTTGTATGTAGTATACCCAGGCCTTATACTTCACGTTGGCCTCAAACTCATGGCAATCTTCCTCCCTCAGCCCTCCAGGTGCTGGGATTACAGGCATGCACCACCATGCCTGGCTACCACTGTTTATGCTGCTTTTGCTCCAGGCTGTCCACGTGCCGGCCTCTAACTGCTGCCCTGTGTCCTGGGGGGGCCATGCAGAGCCAGCACCCTTGTGGACAGCATGGCGGTAGAACCCGGGAGGGCCTGGCCCCACCTCCTGGCTTCTAATCCCGGCCCCCACTGCCTGTGCTCTGGACCCCCGGGAGGTGCTCACACACCTGTGCTTCTCTCTTAGCATCTGTGCGATGGGGGCGGGGGACGGTGCCTGCATCTCGGGGCTTCAAGCATGCAAGGCACATGGTGGACCTGAGCCCTGACGTGCAAGTGAGGGCTCCTGGAAGGAGGCGCAGATGCAGCACTCTTGGGCAGGGGTGTGACTGCTTTTCTGGTTTTGTCCCAGAGCCCTGATGTTTCTAGATGCCTCATCTCTAGGGAAGTAACCTGTCATCACAGCAAATAAAAAGGTCTGATGTGTAAGACATCTATGCTACCCCAAGTGTGGTGGCGCACACCTGTAATCCCAGCACTCGGGAGGCTGAGGCAGGAGGATCACTGTGAGCTTGAGACCAGCCTGGGCTACAAAGTGAGCCCAAGGCCAACCTCAACTGCATAGAGAGACCTTGTCTCAAAAAAAAAAAAAAAAAAGAGAAAGAAACAGAGACAGAAAGAAAAATCAATCTATTCTACTTAGGATTTACAAAAAATTCATAGTAAGAACTCAAAAGTTTAGACTTTGGATCAATCTGAATCACAAAATGTACAACTTCCAAGGTGACAAGCAACCTGTATATGCTTTAATGAAGACTCAAAAATTAGTATTATGTAAATGTTCATAGATTTCAGTGTTCAACCTAAGAAACCGAAGAAAATCTGAACAATGGCCCCTTCAGTTCTCTGAGGGAAGATGATTGTTAACTCTAAATTCCTTTCTTTTTTTTTTGAGACAGGTCTTGCTATGCAGTTCAGGCTGGCCTTGAACTCACTTTGTAGTCCAGGCTGGCCTCAAACTTGAAGCAATCCTCCTGCCTCAGCCTCTTGAGTGCTGGGGTTACAGGCGTGTCCACCACACCCAACTTCTCTAAATTTCTTTGGACGTAAGAACGAAAATCTTGAAGTCTTAAAAAGGAAATATGTACCTACTGGCAAAATAAACATCAGAAAAATAAACACCAATACAGCTGCCAAAAAGAGTACAAATTACAATTCATCTTTAAAGCACCACTGCTCTGTGTGTTCGTGATACACTCGGTGTGGCCTCCCCACGGAATTAACTGTGGGAGCAACGGTCTGTTGTGGCTCCATTACTAATGGCTCAGGAAGGGCAGCCCCAAGCTTCCTTTTGAAGCTGGTAATTCTGAATGGCAAAGGGTCCCTTTCTCCCTCCTTATCCACGCTGTTGAGGAGTCCAAAACTCTGTTAAAGGTTGTTATTTGCCAATACAGCTCCTCTTCCCCAGCGAAGAGGCCCTGGCCCTGGAAGCTACTATCCTGTGATCTCCTGTCTGGCCCTTCAAGGACCACGGAGGAGGAAAGCCACGGGGACTCCACCCCGTCACACTAATAACGCACTGAAGCAGCAGTTCCAGTGGCTGCCGTCAGTTCCTCATGACCTCTGAAGAAAAAATGGCCAACCTCAGCAGCCACAGAACTAAGAGACCCGTCTAACCAACGCTGGAGACAGGGACGAGGGCCAAGGTACGGATTCTCCACACCGGGCCATGAGGCTGTGGGGCGGGCGGCCTCTAGCACAGCCGTGCACAGACAGCGCCGCCTGCCTGGACTACTGCAGCAGTGCTGTGTCCCCAGGCTGGGCTGTCACTGTCCCCTGACTGCAGCAGTCACAGCCTTAAGGGAAAGGAAGGAAGTAGCTGGTCAGATGTAAGGGTTCCTCTGGTATCTGCAGGGCAGAGAGCTTTCTTATCAAAGGACACAAAGCATGACAGATGCTCCTAATGTCCTTTGTATCTTTCCACAGATACGGTCTTCAGGTGAGATTTCCCCATGGCTGGAAGGGGAAGAAAAAAATGGAGTCTTTATCAATATGAATTCAGAGGGTACAACTCGGGGCAGAGATGAATTTAACATGGGCCTGACAAAACTTTTCAATAAAATTACAATTCTCCCCCGAATCCTTTGTGACTCTGTCTATACAGCAGTTCCTGTCAGGACCACTTACCGACAGGATGTGGGAGGGCAGAGGTATGCACTGCTAACCGCGGTAAGAATTTTCTGGAGCAGGGGCAGCAAACTTCTTACGTAAGTGCCAAGCAATAAATATTTTAGATTTTGTAGGCCATGCTGTGTCTGGGACAGCTATTCAAATGTGCTGCTGTAGACTGACACAACCCTAACAATATGTAGCAGGCGTGTCTATGTTCCTTCAAACCTTTACTTTCAAAACAGGCAGTTGCTGGATTTGGTGCACGGTCTATCATTTATCAACCTCTGTTCTACAGTTTACATTTTGAGTTTAACATTTTAAAGTTTCAACTGGAACTGCCTACTTCCTGTTCTGATACAAAGCAGCCAGAACTGTGGCTGGGTCACCTGCTGTCCCTGCCCCTCACAGGAAACCTGTGTCATGGGGGCAGCAGCCTCAGGCACTCAACACTTAGACTGCCTTCATCTAGTTGGCACCATCCAAAATTTCAAAGGTAGGTTTCAAAATCTACAACGTGAAATTCTCTTTCAAATTTCTTTTTCTTTTCTTTTGTCTTTTTGAGACAGAGTCTCGCTATGTAGTTCCGGCTGGCCTTGAGCTCACTTTGTAGCCCAGGCTGGTCTCACACTTACAACGATTCTCCTGCCTCGGCCTCCTGAGTGCTGGGATTACAGGGTTGTGCCACCACGCCCGGCTTCAAATTTCTGCACACTGCCCTATGGAGTCCCTGCCTTATAAAGAGGGGCGCAGGGGCCCCACACAGACCATTGTGGGGTGCCATGCTTTTCTGCAAAAACCCTCACCAGGGACAAATATATTTTCCTCCAAAGTCCCACAACTCATAATAGCACGTCTTCCTTTCTCCAAATCCAAACTTCAAACACAGGGTAAAGAGAGAAAATGATACAAGACAAAGAATCTGTCAGAGCTGGATGTGGTGGGCCACATTTATAATCCCAGAATTTGGGAGGCTGAGGCAGGAAGATTCAGAGCTTGAGGCTGGACTGGGTTACACAGAGTTTCAGGGCCAGCTAGGCTACATGGCAAGATCCTATTTAAAATAAAACAGAACAAAACAAAGGAATTTATACCTTCAGTGACTGTCTCTTTGTCACGTAATTTTCCGAATGAAGTAGCTTCTCGTATTCACTGAAAAACTAAGACAAGAAAACACATCAGGTTATTTGAGAAAAGACACATAGACAATGTTATAAAGCTGGAGGGCAGATTCCTAATACCACCAAGGCCAGCGCTCACTCCAGTTCTGGGCTGCCACAGGCGCCCACAACTTCCTGATGCCTCAGAGGCCCTGGGGTGACACCTCCATCAAGCCTTCCTGGGGGGCACTGCCCACCATCTCCCTGATGACCTCAAGACTAATCCCCACAGCTTCCAGTCAGGCCCAGAATCCACTTGGATCCAGGCCCCCATAACCCCCCATAACCCCCAAGGACACATGCACAAAGCACAGCACCCTTCCCTGACACCTTCCCCACAGCTGAGTCAGCCCTGGTTTTCTGGTGTTAGAACAGAGGACTCTTATTTTTTATGAATGAGAACTCAATTTGCCCAAAGTCAATGACAAAGAGAAAAGTTTCCTGCTCTTTTTCATATCAAGCAAGGGAAAACAATTAGAGATTTAGGGGAGGAGAAATCCAGCACTGTGTTACACAGGAGACCACACAGAAGGTGCGATTTAGGCTCTAATTTAGAGGAGAGGGATTCTGCTTAGCAGTGAGGAGAAACGCTCTGCCTGGGGGATTCCGAAGGATGCGCACAGCCTGCGGGACGACCTGGGAACGCACAATGCTCCAATTGGACAGCAAAACACAGCAAGCCGGATCTTCCTAGTGGCTGGAATGCCGAGGGGCAGGAGGAGCCCCTAAAGCAGAGACACAAGGCTGCACTTGGGGCTCACTGGCAGGGCACTGGCTTAGTGTGCACGAGGCCTGGGTTCCATCCCCACTACTTTTTTTGGACTCAGTGGGAAATGGAAAGGTTGTCCTCTAAGCACTTGGTAGACAAGGCCATTGTATTTTGCTTGTTTGGCTATGGATAGGTTTAAAACGCTCTCATGTTTGCAGGGCTAGTGTCGCCCTGTTGCTTTCCTGACTTCCCACTGGTTGTGGTAGGTGCGAGGGCAGTAGTGACCAACTACGGTGCGCCTGTTGTTTTTAAGACAAAAGTTGTTAATGTGTGAGTGGTTTTTTCTAAACTAAAACTTCAGTGTTTATGTTTAATTGCAGTGCTGACACTTTGCGAAAATTAAGTAGGTTTTGGGTTGCAGTTTGGGCCCTTGTCTCTGAAAGGTTTGTGCGAGGATGCCTGCGCCATCTGTCCCCACGTGTTCCTTTGTTTTAGGTGGGGCCCCACTAGCCACTCATCTGGTTTAGAGCAGGGGTTCGCAAATTAAGTCCACGGGTCACAGCTGGCCCGCTGCCTGTTTTCATAAGTGGAGTTGTACTGAGCCCGGCCACGCTCATTTGTTCACTGCACATGAACTCATTCACGTATTCACGGACTGCTTATGGCGGCTTTTGCAGTACCACAGATGGGCGCTGACAGGCCACACGGCCCATCAAGTCTCAAATACTTACTCCCCGGCCCCGCCAGCTCAGGGCTGGCCCTGGGCTGCCCACGCCCTTCTGTTTTGCTGCCTTTGAGGCGCTGGTGCGGCCATCTCATCTGCACGCAGGCAAGTTCCACTGTCCTTTTCAGGAGAAGCCTTTGGACACTTTTTCCTCAAATCACCACCAAACTGATGATTTAAAGCAGCTGGATCTGCCTTTGAATTAGTGAAACAAAATATATGTCCCCCAAATACTTGACAGAAAATGCAAGTTAAGATTTTCTGCTTGTTGGTTTTCTTTTTTATTTTTGGGCTGAGAATTGAACTCAAAGCCTTCCTGCTGAGCTATATCCCCCTGTTTTCAAAAAGCAGGGCCTTGCTAAATTGCCCAAGTGGGACTTGTACTTACAGTCCTTCTGCCTCAGCCTCACAAAGTGCCTGTCTGCTGCTTAATTCTTAGGACAAACCTGTTTGTGAGAACTCATTTTCAAGGGGACCTGCGTGAGAAGTTTGTTTTTAGTCCAACTTTCCACCAGACGGGCTGAATTTTTCTCTTTGGATTAGGACAAAGGACAAATTAACAGTATTGGACACCTTCCTCCACATCTGGGGCCTTGAAGACTTGTTCTCAGGGTGTCTTCAGCTGAGTGCTGATGGCCACAGTGCCACCCACATTTGTGCCTGCACGCTGGCTCCCTTAACTGGGGTGGGTGGTCTGGCTGTTCCACCCCAGGGATAGAATAGGCTGTTGCTTCTCCGCAACCAGAACACAGTGAAACCTTGGATGGCAAGTAACTTGCTCTGCGAGTGTTTCACAAAATGAGCGAACATTTCTAATGGATTATAATGACACATGAGCAATGTCTTACAAGTAGGAGGTGACGCCGAACACCACACGATCACAACTGAGCCAACAGTTCCTTCTCCCTGCTCCCGCTCTCCCTCCCTCCCTCCTCTCCTCTTCCTTCCTCCCTCCCTCTCTCTCTGGGATTATGGGTGATCCTCTCCCAACAGAGGTTATAGAGGAGACCTTGTCTATAGAAGAGGAGAAAAAGGCAGAGGAATGCCTCACTTCAAATGAGATTAGGCAGATGCGTAAAATGTGGGAAACAGTGCAAAATTTTGTAGAAAAACACCATCCAAATAAGGCCGTAGTGGTGAGTGAGGAGTTGGTTTAACCGCAGTGCAGGGTCATAAACCCACGAAATCATCAGAAGGAGGCACAAGCAAGTGTCATGGGACAGGCTCCTTGTTAAAGCTGCACTAAAAGAACGGTTCCACTGAGCCAACAGACAGCAGCGATCCCTCTAGTGACAGCGGAAGTCATCCCACACAATAACCTCTTTGTCCACTTCACATCAGCCATGAAGCTTTTCCAAGCTAAATGCAGGTTCCTTTAGTTTTCTTTGTATTTTGTATTTTATTATTTCGTATTACAGTATTGCAATCATTTTTCTCAGAATATTTTTGGGCTGTGGAACGCATCATCTGAGTTTCCATTATAGGTGTTTGTCGTTTAATGACTGAGTTATGTTCCTGTGACTAGGTCCTTAAATGAATTGGCTGCGCTAAATGAGGAACTGTATAGTATGTACATTACAATAATCAAAACAAAGACACGGCCAAAGGAAACTCCAACTCGATGACTTTGCTTTTATTGGCATAACTTTTACATGCAGTACTGTACTGTATAACAACATAAACTATGGTATTATACTGTACAGTACAATCAGGAAAAATTATAGTACTGTACAAACAAGGTGTATTGTACAAAAAAAAGACATGGAGGCTCTATTAACAAGATGTACAAAACTGTACAAAATAAAAAAAAGATGGGTCATAAAGCCAAGCAGCAGTTCTAAGTCTGAATAGTCAAATAGGTGGGTCGTAAACGAGGAACCTGTATTACGGGGCAATTTAATTTGATAAACAAATGCTTTGGCCGAGTATGGTGGTGCATGCTTGTCATTCCAGCACTTGGGAGGCTGAGACAGAAGGCCTGCAGCAGCAAGTTCAAGATTAGTCTGGGCTACCTAGTGAGACATTGTCTCAGAAAAAAAAAAAAGGATATACAAATACTTTGAATCAAAAGCATGTTTCTGGAACAAATTATGCTGCAAACCAAGGTTTTACTGTATATTTTACTTTACAAATGTTAAAGTCTTTTAATTGATTTTGTTTCCCTCCATACTCTGGTTATTAGATAATTCAGGGCCGAAGTATTCAGGGTATTTTTTAATTTTTTCAGTACTGTAGTGATAACTGAAACCGGGGCCTTCACACTGACCTACATCCTTACACATTTTTAATTTTTTTAAAAACTTAAGACAGGGTCTTGCTAAATTGCCCAGGCTGAACTTGAGATTGCAACCTTCTTGCCTGATCCTCCTAGAATGCTGGGATTAAGATATGTGCCACACTCCGTAGAGTATTTTGGGTATTATGCATTTTTGTGCAACATTCTCAATTTTGACCTTAACTTATCAATTGTCCTTCTCCCTTGGATCTTCTTGCACTGTACACATTTCTGCTGAGTGCCTCATACTTGGGTTTCTAAAATCCTATTAAGCAATGTTATTCAATAGTAACATGTAGGAAACTGTTTTACTGCAAAACTGAACAGATTTCACTGCTTGTAGTGAATTTTTCTTTGTCTTTTGAAACAGTCCAACTATGTAATGCAGGCTGGCCTTGAACTTGCTTATGTAGCCCACCCAGGCTGGCCTCGAAATCAGGCTGATCCTCCTGCCTCACCCTCCCCAAGTGCTGGGATTACAGGTGTGCTATGCAGTGAATTTCTTGAAGATTAGTAGCTAGTCCGTATCTCTGGGAGGCTTTAAATTAAGATACTCTAGCATGTTTTTTCTTAAAAAATAGCTTGAGGCCATATGGCAATAATACTAAAATAAGTAGCATTTACTGAACACTTAGTGCCTTCCAGTGCTGAGTCCCAGACCACACCTACCCTTATGTAAGGCAGCTGCCCAAGGTCTCCTCTGCCCAGCAGAGGGCTGGCAGGAGAAGCCAGGCCGGAGCAGTCTGACGCTAAAGCCCATGAGTCTGCCCCTGTAACAATAACATGGCTCTGAGGACACAACAGTGCTGCCATTTCAAGCTAAGACAAAGAATACAAAAAGGAACAATTCATGGGCAGAAATCAGAGTAAACCGGCAGTGTTGAAGTCACTCGTGGGGCCGTTCCCGAGGGACTGAGCATCGCTTCTCCGCCTTTTGGCTAAGACCTGAGCGATGCACTTGTACTGTGACGATGCTGCTGAGGTGGGAAGGGAGATCAGCAGAAGGGACACAGAAGAATGAGGAAGCAGGGACTTTGCCTTCCAGGATCACAAAACAGTTGAACAGCAAAAGAACAATGAAATATGAATAATAATTAAGCTTCTGAAGACATGAGCTACTAGTGGAAGAATTAAAACCTAAGCCACATTTTGTGGGCACATGAGGATTTTAGCGGGTATGTTATGACTCTATCTTGGTCAATGTGCCGTTAAACTGCTGTGGCACAGGGGCGCGCGGCGGTGTCTGAGGGGGCCCTCCGCGGAGCAGAGCCTGCGCACAGTGGGCGAGGACACGTGACGCTGCCGCCCAGGGCATGCAGAGGCAGGCACAAATCTCTGGGGTCCACCATGGCCAGGGACAGCTGGCACCGACTCCGAGCCGGAAGAGACTTCCTGAGGGACTAAGCCACTGGCCTCATTTTACAATAAGGGAGGACTTCTAGGTCTCCAAGTGGCAACTGCAGGGAGGCACGGGGCAGAGTCAGGGCCCCACACCCGCCGCGCCCTCTTGGTGCTGCTCTTGTGCTCTCTGCTGCTGCCTCCCTTGCTATTTCTAGGCAGCCACTGGTGGAAGAGTCAGGTAACAGTTCTCCCTTTACATTTACTGTGTTATCATGCAGCAGCACGTCCACTCTCCTCTTGTAATGGAAAGGGACATGGGCTAATAAAAAAGACCAGGTTCTGCTTCCGACCGGTAACATTCTCTCTTGTTTCAGTAGAGGAATGACAGCAGCATTCACAAACATGACAGATGCGATTAAATATTCTCGTGCAATATTTCACATACTTACTCTATCATAATGCTGTTCCAAAAATTCTGCACTGAGCAACTTATGTCTTGTAAGCAAATCCTGGAAAAAGAAAAAAAAATTAATTGTTCATTAAGGTTCTTGAAGAAAAGAAAATCCTAAAACATTCCATGTCATTTTATTGGTTAAAAATTTGTTAAACAAATATAGTCCTTAACATTTGTGCATGAATTATAGTAAATATGCTGATTCTATATAAAAAAAATTACTAATTTGCAATCACAGTTTAAATGATTATTAGACATGGCTTGGCTCTTTAATTCTTAAAGGGAAACACTGTAAGTAAAGAGGCCATGGAAATACAAACTACAACAAAGGGAGAAGGCAGTAAGAGTCAACAGTTCCATAAAATGTCTAATAAAACTGAGTCCATTTAGAGCTCCTTGTAGAGAAAGAGGAAATTTCTTTTCTTAGAAAAACCCTGGGATCTCATCTCACTGAAAAGTTTTTGCACATCAAAAGAAATCACCAAAACAGTAAAAAGAAAACCCATGAATTGGGAAAAAAATTTTAGCCAAATGTCCCTCAATCTAGCACATATAAAGAATTAAAAAAAAAAAAAAATCAGGCTCAAAATTCAATCTAGGACTTCAATCTAGCACATATAAAGAATTAAAAAAAAAAAAAAAAAAA